TTGCTAAACAAAAATTGTCAAAAATAGGGCATGCCATCTCATTGGTTAGTTCTGTGAGAGTGTTCCTGAAGCAGGTGTCCATGACCTGAGTGTTTTCCCGTGATGACAGTCTCTAGTTTCACGGGGTGTGACAGCAAAGACACCATTCTTTAGAATAAATTTTCAAATTATACAATAAATCAGCAAATCTAGACTGTGAAAAACTTTGTAGGACAAATTTCTTCAAAACTACAAGTTGAAGATTTTATTTGGATTGGAATTCAAAGAGTCACCTGGAAGGCAATAATATATTTATGAAGCATTTGGAAACTAGAGCACTGACAATTACTAATAACAAAATATAACTATGGATATTTAGGCTTACTAATATTATTGTGTGTGTTTTTGAAAACACTGTTAGATAAATYTATTAAAATATTTAAGGATAAAATAATATATCTCTTATTTGATTTAATGGAATATAAAATGAGAACTGGGTAGAGATAGACATAAAATTGAATCTAGATGAGGTACATGAAAATTAGTTCCCTCTACTCTAATATATATTTAAAATTTTTGTATAATAAATTTATTGTTTTTTGACCCAAAAATGTGTTCTATTTTCATTTACTAAAATGTATTGTTTTGGTGTTAGGATAGTTTGACAGCTTTTTTCTTTTATTCTTAAATTTACTTCTGTGRATTTTATCTTTTTGTTTGCTATCACAAATGTGATATTTCCTGCCATACTGTTTTATAACTGGTTCTTATTTGCAACAGGAAAGTTATCTTTGTATAATATTACTGAACAATTTACCACTTAATCTTATTGCTTCTCAGATATTCTTAGCTTATTTTCTTTGTAAATAATCATATGTCTATAAAATGAAAAATCTGCCCCTTTATTCTTTTCCCAAATTTGTAACTTCCATTTTATTTCTTTGAACTAGATATTCCAGAGAAATATTATATAATAGTTGTAAATAGGCATTTTTATCTCATTTCCAATTTTACTGGTTATAATTTGAAGTTTAGTGATGGTTTATTGTTTGGGATTTTTTTTCTTACATGTAAGGAAATATCCTTTTAATTTTTGTGTTTTGCTGTTTTCAGATATGGATTTTAAAGGAACCATCTGGTAGTTTTTGGTCTACCCCATTTGTATTTGTTAGTATTGATCCTAAATCTGTCATCTATTTTTTATTTCTACTGYTTTATTGATATGCTTGCCCTATAAATTTTTACAATTAAATTGACTCTCTTCTATAGAAAACACAAAAAAATTACATATTTTTATTTTGTTCCACTTATTTTTCCTTATAACCTATTCTTTTTTCTACGTTTCCTGCTTTTATTTAGTCCTTCTAATAGTTGCATTTTTTATTTTGAATTATATCTTAATTTCTCCATTCTACATAACACCTATTAGCTCCTTGCATTAAAACAGGAATAAATAAGTACATCTACTTTTATTTCTCTGTTCCTGCTATTCTCATTTCCCAACACCACTGTCGAGTTCTTGGTCCTTGGGGATATAATAATATTAAAAAGAACAGATTTGGGCTTTTGAGCTGATTAAGTTTGGAAGAGCTCTTCAGACTTTAAGTTAATGTTAACAGGATGAGATTTGGAAGGGATACTGCRTTTTGTATATGTACAGTTGTGAATCTTTGAGAACAAGAGGGCAAATCGTGATAGGAAGAATAACTGCCTCCCAAAGAAGTTCACACTCTTATTCATGGAACTTATGACTGTTTCCTTACATGCCAAATACGGTCTCTGAAAATATAATAAGGTAAAGAGCTTGAAATGGAAATTATCCTAGGTTTTCTGAATGGATCCAACTAATCACATGACCTTTATTTAAATATATTTTTTATAATTTTATTTTATTTACTTATTTTTTATGTGGTGCTGAGGATTGAATCCAATGCCTCACCAGGGCTAAGCAAACAGCTCTACCACTGAGCTACAGCACCAACCCCAATCACATGACCTTTAAAGGATACAAAACAATGTCCTCTAAGAGGGACCTGACCCACTGTTATTGGCTTTAAAGATACAGTAAGAAATTTCTGAGCTAAGGAATGTGGGTGGCCTCTACAAGTTGGGAACAGCCTTTAGTTTACAGACAGAAAGAAAATGGGACCTTGATCCTATAATCACAAGGAAATAAATTCTGCCAACTTGAATGTACAGGAAATGGATTCAAACCTAGAATCTCCAGAAAGGAACACACCCTGATGACTACTTGATTTTTACTTGTTCTTTTTACTTGTACAGGGCAGTAGAATATATTTTGATATATTTATACAAGCCTGGAATATATCTTTAGGATCCCAGTCTTTTGGATGTACACAATGTTTAAATTCGTTGAAGTGTATTCACATATGTGCATAGTAAAAGTATGTCTGATTCAGTCCACTGTCGTTCCTAATCTAGCCCCCCTCTTTCCCTTCATTTCCCTTTGTCTAATCACTGAAGTTCTATTCTCCACTCCCCTTGTTGTGRTTAGTATTCACATATCAGAGTGGACATTCAACCTCTGGTTTTTTGAGATTGGCTTATTTCATTCAGCATGACAGTATCCAGATTTTAATCCTGTGAATTCCAAATCAAATTTCTGACCTACTGAATTGTAAAATAATAACATCTGTATTAGTTCAAGACATCAAATTTGTGGTAAATTTAAGACAGCATAGAAAATTAATGTTCAATTTAAATTCCTCCCCTTAGATAAAGGACTGCCAYTCTGAAAGCATATAAACTCTAGCTACTCCTTGAACAAGTGAGAATACTTTTACCAAGGAGAAAGGAATGGGTGGCAGGAAGCATGACAATGAGCAGTGACTGACACAATTTTCCTGATCTGCTTTGACTTCTCTAGTCCTATATCTCATACTTCCACCCATACTTCATGTCCCTAGAGTTTCTAACCTAGGGGATGTTTTTCTGCTCCTATGCTCTTAGTAATACAGTTCCTTCTACCTAGAAATCCCCAGCCTACTATTCATACTACTCCTCCATTAATCTATGTTTTGGTTCCCTTTACCCTCCAAAATACTGCTCATATTCTCTTCCACAAACCGCTTCAAGTTAAGAGTATAGTATTTCTTCAATTCTGTTTCTGCTAGCTGTCCAGGCTGGTATTATAGTATATGCCATATACTACAGTATATAGCAACTCCCCAGCAATATTTGTTAGTATCATTATTTCCCATAACAGTATTCAAAAATTGAATATAAATTCTTCACAAAAATTTWACTGAATAATACTTGTTATAGACATGTATACATAAGTTTCACATTTCATATGCTTAAAAAACACAAATAGCATATTAGAATGAATCCTCAATAGTCTTAATTCAGATTCAATAACCATTTATATATACAATTGAATCAGCTAGAAAGCTAATAGAAGTTTATTCCCATAAAAAACAGATTCAAGTCTCTAGGATCTTCAGTCTCAAGAATTTTAGCAGTTAAAATGTTAGGGAATAGACATATATGAATGGTGGGAACATGAAGTTAAGAGAATAATTCTATAAAATTGGCACCTTGGTGGCTGACCCCCACATGCTTTCTTTTCCAAGAAGCAATTTACCTGCGGGCCTGTCTGACCAAAGTGAACAATGTATGTCACATTCCTGAGCAGACTACCCGTTAACTGCAAGAGAAATGCAGGCCCAAGATAATGTCAAGGGAGAAATCCAGGAGACTTTTGTGACCAGATCCTAAAACTCTGGGAGATAAGAAGAGTTCCTCCCAGCTATAAAATCTGTAAAAATGGAGGCTTAAGAATCCAATGAGTTCCAGTCAGCATGGGCCAAGGTAACCTAAAGTTACCATGACAGTGGGTACTTGAAAGTCTGATGTTACCCTTYTGCCAAACAAGTCATGAGGTGTAGCTGGGCAGGACTCTGGAAGCTTCTCTAGAATCTCCAATAAAACTGGAGTGCATGAGAGGCATATTGTTTCTCTCCTGAGAGAACAAACTCCCTCCCTTGAAAATATCCCTTTCCCTTTCCTAGCTCTTAATAAATTCATGCCTATTACTTGGAACGACATGTCTGAAATCCCTCTGACTTAGTCTCAAGGATCAGGGTTTGAAGAGGGTGGTCCTCCCTTTGCCTCAGTTTCTCACAGGCCCCAGCTCGTCACAAAAACAACAAAAGTAGTGTCAAAAGGAGCCCACGACTAAGAAATGAGAATCAAAAATTATCAACTAAAAACTTAAAAAACATTTCATAAGTATTCTAACTAGCCAATATATGGTATAGGACCTGTCCATAAAGGACATGCTGGCCACTTTTCATTTAAGATAAAGCTAGGTTTATTGTTAAGGGCCCACTTTGATGCTTAGCAATAGAAAAATGCGCTCTTGGATAAATCGCATTCACTGAAGATTACTTGAATTCGTTTGTCCCAAACCAAAAGCAGAAGCCTGAAGAGCCTACTAGAGTTCCAGGTCTGTGTCCAGGGTAATGAGTAGGGACATTAGGCCTCCTCTGGGCTTGCACTGAGGCAAGKGGAAGCTGGAGGGGCTTGCGGGTTTAGAAGAACTCCATCTAAAATCTAGATCACAGGCAAAGAAACACGCTTTACACGGAAGCCAAAGGAAAAAACAAAGGCCAGCACCCTAGGCCAGAGACCAAAGAAAACATCACCCTAAGGGTTTCCACCCTCCTTCTCACGCTTTCCGCCAGATAGGGCACAGGACTACACTTCCCAGAATGCAAAGCGGAAGGGCGGAGCTAAAGAGACTGTTTACCTCAAGTTGGACCCAGGCGTTTGAGGTTTGATAATAAACTCTAGTGCGTCCCCGTGCCAGCCCTCCATCTCAGCCTCACTGGTTCTGCAATCCGCGCGTGGGAGGGCGTCTGGGTCSTCACTGGCAGCGGTTGAATGGAGGCTCTCCGCCCCGCGGCCTTATGGTACTTGATGTCCTCGCTGTGGACGGAGCAATAGCTTCTTCCACTGCGTCAGAACAGAACGACTACATTTCCCAGGGGTCGGCGGGGCGGCGTGGGGGCGGTGCCTCACGTCTGGTACAGTCATCCCAAGCCCCTTCGGCGGGACTGTAATGGCCGGAGAGATGACGATCTTAGGTCAGTGTCTAAGGGGTCTCTTTTGCCTTGGGTGGACGTCAAGGCGGTCCGCGGAGGCCAGGGTGGGCGGAATGATTGTCTCAGCTTMTGGTTCCAGCTGGCATAGAAGGGGACTTGGAAAAGCTGACTTGGAGGCGATTTGGGGCTTTTCGGACCTGGTGGGGGTGGAGGCGCCTCCTAGAGAAGTCTGGCCCTGGCAAGCTACGTACAAATCGTACCTCTCAGGGATTTGCGGCTTGGCGATGGGTTTCTTACAACAGAACCTCGGTTTTGAATTGCTGGCCGAAATGGGGCCTTTGAGAGGCCGCAGGAACCTACACCTCCGGGACCCTTTGTGGAGGAAGGGGGAGGAGCCGCAGCAGGAGCATCCTGAGTTGTAGATGCCTGGGATGCTGAGCTTGAAGGGATGTAGGGCCTTTTGATGCTCTTTCCACCATATCGGATGGGATTTACCTTCCCCTGCTTGGAAGGTGATAAACTCTTTATGCAATTTGCCTGTAGGTGGAAGGAAATTGACACTTGATTTCATTTCTTTGAGTTAGTGTTGAAGAGGATGAGCTAACAATTAGTAACACAGGCCTACTAACTGACGTTTTTGGTTGTAATGTAACATAAGTGTACACAGGTATTTAACACAAGTAATCAAGTAAGAGCATAATTCCAAATTTAGAGTAGTTTTTTTTTCTTATGTTTACAATTATTTATGGCATTTGTTCAGATCTATTTTTTCATGAATTTGTATTTGCTGAGCATATGTTATTCCTTGGCATGAGAGCTACAACAGTGTACAAAACTTGCCTTCAAGGAGCTTGCATATATGTTGCCATCAGTGTTACTCACTTTTATACTTCTCCCCTAAATATTATCGCTACAAGATCTGTCTTTAATTCATATATATATAAACTATGTTCTGTTATGAAGTGATGGTTTAATACCTGAGCAACTTTCAAAGTCATTGTATCTGATGTATCCATTTTATCCTTTTGAAAAAGAAAAGGAGATATAAAAGTAAAGAGTTTTAACTTTACATTATTAGTAAAGGTTTTGGTGTGAGAATTTCAATAATGGAGCTTCTTTTCAAAAATGATAACATAAGCTTTATAAAATTTAAATAGCAATTGTTCAAGAAAATTGGATAAAATTTAACTTTTACTTCAGATGAAGGGTGTTTCCTTACATCATGAGCAGAATTATTCTACAAATATTATTAAATATTTTTACATTTTATTCCTGTGTTCTACTAGTGAACTACAGATACAATTACAGGATTTTTTGTTTTTGTTTTGTCATTACTTTATTTTTAATTATAACTAATTTACATTATAAAAAACTAGATGTCTTAGAGAAGTATTAACAGTTCTATAAAATTAAATGAGGTATATTTTTAGTCTTGCTTCAAAGATTGGTATTAAAGGGACTGCTTTAGTAATTGAGCATATTAGACTTTGCTATAGTAATTTAGTATATTATCATAATCTGATAAGATGTATCTTTTAATTTGCCTGTTTTCAGGATCAGCTGTTTTGACTCTCCTATTGGCTGGCTATTTGGCACAACAGTATTTACCATTGCCTACTCCAAAAGTGATTGGCATTGACCTGGGCACCACCTATTGTTCTGTTGGGGTGTTTTTTCCTGGCACAGGAAAAGTAAAGGTGATTCCAGATGAAAATGGGCATATCAGCATACCTAGCATGGTGTCTTTTACTGACAGTGATGTATATGTGGGATATGAAAGCTTAGAGTTGGCAGATTCAAATCCTCAAAACACAATCTATGATGCCAAAAGATTCATAGGCAAGATTTTCACTCCAGAAGAGCTTGAAGCTGAAATTGGCAGATACCCATTTAAGGTAAGGGATTAATCCAAAATATGTTTTGTTTATTTTACTGTTAAATAACTTATTTATTGTATTGTTTCAATTAATACTTTACTTTCACATTATAAAACATTCTATTTTAATTTACTTAATCTACATGGATATTATGCTATCTCATTTAACAGGAAATTCCACAGCAGCTCCAGGGTGAGTTATTACTAAGACTCTCCAATGTTATCAAGAACTTAGGACCTTACTATATACTTGCTCTGCCATTTTGAGAATGTGTCCTTACCTTATTCAAGGTAGCAGGAAGGTTAATGAAGCCCCATATACTGTAGATAGATATTATCTATGTAGGTACATATTTGTTTATGTCTGAATAGATCATACAAGGCATGGTGTTTTCTGACTTACTTGAAACTCAGCAATATGTCATAGATGTTATCTTAATGGTTGTGTAAAATGACTAAATTGATCAGTCTCTTTTCACTGTATATTTTCTTATTTTTTTCTGGTATTCCACTAATGGTGGAGGTTCAGTGAATGTTCTTGTATATACATCTGTTTTTACTTATCTGAAAATTTCCTGACTTGAATTCTAGAAGTGGAATTGATAGGTCAAAGGTACACATGTTTTTAAGGCTTTGATTTTTATTAACAGATTGTGCACCAGAAAGGTTATATGCTCTTAACTGTTATTTTTTAGAGCACCTCTATCTTCCCTGGTTATTATTATTTTACAATATTTGCCGATCAGATGAAAGAAAAATGAAATCTTCTGTTAAATTTCATTTCTTTGCTTTCTAGTCAGATTTTTTTAGAAATTTTTTTATTCATATTTTTATTTTCCTTGGTGAACTATTTCTTGTTGTTGTTGTTCTGTTTCTTTGACATGATTTTTTTTCCTAAATGAAAATCAAATACTTTTGATTTTGTTATTTTTTTAATTGTTTTTTATTTTTAACTGATAATTTGTTTTTGAGTTGTCAAAATTTTAAATTTGTATGCAGCAAAATTCCCTCTTAATTTTATAAAAATGGCATTGACTCTTACTGTGCTTAATATGGTTTTCTTATCCACTTGTTTTGGTGTTTTTGTTTTGTTTTGTTTCATTTTTCATCCTGATGCTTTTATATAGGTGTTGGTTTGTGTTTTGTTGCTGAGTGGTTTTTTTTTGTTTTTGTTTTAAACATTTAAATCTTTTTTTTTTATGTACAGTTTTTCTTCTAAGTTATGAACTAGGATTCTAAATTAGTTTTAAAATCATTAGGTAGTTCAGTCACTGCTGCTTGTTGAATAACCCTATCCATAAAAATTTTTAAACTTTTGATCTATTTTCAGAGAGAAAAAAAATTGTTGTACTTCTAACTTTATTACTTTGTTTTTAGTTTCTTTCTTTGGGATTCTTTTATTAATTTATAATCTTTAGTGATAAAATACTAAAGCTATACATTTTCTCTAAGTTACAGCTTTGGGTGCATTACTTACTGGTTGAAGAGTTATTTTAAGTTACTAAATTTCAAATGATTCTAAACAATTTGTTTTGGTTTGGGGTGGGCCTTATGGTACTGGTATCTTTGTATCTTATATTCATAGTAGATCTATAGCTTGCTTTTATTTACAAGGTCAGATTTTCTTGATTATAACTTAATTATGAGGTCTAGAATGGCTGGGGAAAGAGTCTTATAACTTCTGCATGAGATTAATTTTCTTTGCTATTGCTGTTAAAACAATCTGTTCATAGTTTATACTAGGGTATGTACAAGTGTACTAGGTAGAATGTACTAATGTAGTACATTTTAGAGATAATCTAGTTTTTTAAATGTATGCCCACATTAGAGAAAATGAGCTAATACATAGTAAATATTTTCATGGAAATAAGAATGTAAATGATGTTTGATTCTTGGATAAGGACATAATAAAGTACTAAAATTATTATTTTTAATATGTATTAGAAATTTCTTTAATTTTATTTTTTACTCTAGAAAACAAGCTAACTTGGAACAAAAGAGAAAGGGAAGATCCTGAGTTATATACATGATTGAGCAACTGTTATTCCTTATATATTAGTCCCCCCCTTTATTTGTGATTTTGCTTTCTGTGGTTATTTTCCATGGTTTTAGTTACCTGTGATCAACCACTATCTGAAAATATTAAAGGAAAAATTTTAGAAATAATTCACAGATTTTAAATTATATAACATTCTGAGTAGCAAAACAAAGTCTTCAGAACTGTTCAATCCCACCCAGAACTGGTATTACCCCGTATCTATTTTATATGCTACCAAGTCCCTTGGTACTTATACTGATTATCAACTTGACTCTTGAAGTATAGTGCTTGTGTTCAGGTAACTTTATTTTACTGATTAGTGGAACCAAGATGCAGGGGTAGTGATGCAGACAATTTGAATATGCCAAAGAGAAACCAAAGCAAATGCTTTTCTTTTAAGCTGAAGGATCATCCACTGGGGAACTTGGAACACATCCCTGTGTGGATAAAGGAAAATTCCTGTCTTTCATCAGGAATTCATTGAACAAATAAATATGCTTGGTTATGAATTTTATTCTGCTCTTATTAAAAACTGTAGCATATATTTTATTTACTTTATACTTCTTAAAGTATAACATTTAATAAGCTCTAATCTTGGCAGATGGATACAAATATGGAATTTATCACTTTGTAAAGGTAAATTTTTATTGAAAAAAATCTAGTATGTATGTGTGTAAGTACATACATATGTTTATATTTAACAGACTTTTATTCGTATTCCTTTTTTTATAATCCTATTTATAGGTTTTAAACAAAAATGGATTGGTTGAGTTTTCTGTGACAAGTAATGAGACCATCACCGTTTCCCCAGAATATGTTGGCTCTCGACTATTGTTAAAATTAAAAGAAATGGCAGAAGAATATCTTGGAATGCCAGTTGCTAATGCTGTCATTTCTGTACCAGCAGAATTTGACCTAAAACAAAGAAATTCAACAATTGAAGCAGCCAACCTTGCAGGTAATAGCACTCTTGCCTGTGTTGGATTTTTCTCAAGATTTTGTTTGGTATTTGTCACTTTGTAAATCACTTAACTATTGGCACAAAAACAACCTATATGGTGGGTAAATTAGTGGATTTTTATATAGGTTGATAAGTGATAATTACAAGAGCTCTGTAGCATGATGTAGAATGTGTATATTAAAATAAGAACCAGTCATAGGCACATGACAAAGGTAGAAAACATGGACACATTAGCAGGGAGGGATTTTTTTTTTTTTCCCTAAAATTTCTTTAATCAAAGTTAAGGTAAACATAATGTTGTCAAAAAATCTGATGTGAAAATATTTTAAAACTTTTCAAAAAATATTGGGGCTGGGGCAGGGGCTCAGTGGTAGAGCACTCACCTAGCATGTGTGAAGCACTGGGTTCAATCCCCAAGACCACATCAAAACAAAAATAAAAGCAGATGGAATTTAAAAAAATAAAACAAATATTGAGTGTCTCACAAAATAAACAGGTACATCCTTGTTTTTGTGCAGCTTATGTTTGAMAGAAAGGAACACAGAATAAACATATCTCTAAGTTTAACATATGCATTATTGACATTTTGGGCTCAATAATTCTTGGGTGTGGTGGTGGCAGTCCTGTGCATTTAAGAATATTTTGCAGCATGTTATGACAATCATGCTTTCATTCATTTCCATAGATCTCTTGGAGATAAAATCACCTCTGATTGAAAATCATTGATACAGTGTGTATCAGAAAGTAACATGCTATGAAAAATAAAAGCAGGATAAAGGGACAGAATTGTTTGTGGTGGTCAAGTGATTAGAGGCAGCGTGTTAGCTTTGAGTCAGGGTGATCAAAGTACCTGATGAGAACAACTTAAGAAGAAGAAAGATTTATTTTGGCTTATGTTTTCAGGGCAATCAGTTTATGGTCAGCTGGCTTCTAGGCAGAAACCTCTTGGCAGAAGGGTATGCAGAGGAAAGCTTTCAGATCATGGTAGCCAGGGAGGAGAGAAAGATAAGCCAGAGAAGAAAAACTTCTAGGGCATGCTTCCAGTGACCTATTTCCTCCAACTAGGTCCCACCTTCCAGTAGTCCCTCCAAGCCATCAGTGGATTAATGTACTGATGAGGTGAGAGCCCTCATTATCTAATTAATTCCCAAAATCTTTACCTTTGAGCACATGAGACTTGGGGAGACATTTCAGACCCAAACCATAAATAACAGGGGACTTACACATTTAAGTAGGATGATCAGTTGGCCTCATGGAGATATTTAAGCAGATTTGAAGGAAGTGAGGTAGTTAGTTATGCAGACACATGCAGGAAGTTCATTATAGGGGGAGGAAACAGTACAATCATAAAATAGGATTTTGGTGATATATAAGGATAGGAAGACAAGAGTGGTGGCGCTCGCCTATAATCCCAGTGGCTCGGGAGGCTGACACAGGAAGATTGCAAGTTCAAAGCCAGCAAAATCTAGGTGCTAAAGCAGCTCAGTGAGACCCTGTCTCTAAATAAAATGCAAAATAGGGTTGGGAGTGTGGCTCAGTGATTGAGTGTCCCTGAATTCTAACTTGGGTACCCCCCCACACCACAAATAAAGGAATAGGAAGTTGTCTAGTGTGACCAGAGCAGAGTGATAGAGAACCAAAGGAATAAAGGAATAGGTATTAGGATATTTAAAAGAATTCTTCAGTTTGAATGTTGTTATAGCTCCTGAAACATAACATTAGTTTTCAGTCTACTCTTGAAAGTTAGTTTGCTGAGTGACAAGAAATTTCTTAATAACTTCCTCTTATCACTTGTCCTTTTCTCCAATCAATCTTTACAGGACTGAAGATCCTGCGAGTAATAAATGAACCTACAGCAGCAGCAATGGCCTATGGTCTCCACAAGGCTGATGTCTTCCATGTCTTGGTTATCGACTTGGGCGGAGGAACTCTAGATGTGTCATTACTGAATAAACAAGGAGGGATGTTTCTAACCCGAGCAATGTCTGGTGAGAAAAAATAGAAAATTGAAGAGATTCAAGCAACACTTAACTTACCTAATATGTAGTTTGTGGGTTTTTTTTGTTTTGTTTTGTTTTGTTGTTGTTGTTGTTTTGTACTGGGGATTGAACCAAAGAGCATTCTCCCTCTGAGCTACATCCGCAACCTGTTTTTAAATTTTTATTTTCAGACAGGCTCTGGCTAAGATGTTTATACAGCCTTGAACTTGTGATCCTCTTCTTTTAGCCTGCTGAGTAGTTAGGATTATAGACGATGTACCACCCCAGCTTATAATTTTCTGTGTTATTTATGCCACTATTTTCATATAAAAAAAGTTATGTTTAAGTGATAGGAAACCCTATAAATCAAATTAACTTCCAATTTTTTCATATTGCGCTAATAAGGCATTCATGGTGATGGTGAAGGAAACAGTGGGAAGAAAAAATTCCTGAAAAATAAAAAGGGATAATTTCATTATATTTGTTAACATACGTTATTATAGCAAGCCAATCTGTTTTTTCATCTCTAGTTTTGAAAAATTATCTGATTATTAAGATACTTCTTTCACATCATTTAGATATTTTAACTTTAATGTGCACAGTTTTTTAATAGTATGGGTCAGGGTTCAAATCATTTTAACACAGTATTTAATAATGATCTTTGAATAAAATTTTAATGCATTTTAAAAGAAATTTATTATATTAGAATAAAATTTTATACACATACATATATATGAATATAATACAAACTTTTTTGATTTTTTACTTAGGAAACAATAAACTTGGAGGACAGGACTTCAATCAGCGGTTGCTTCAGTACTTGTATAAACTGGTGTACCAAACATATGGCTTTCTCCCATCTAGGAAAGAGGAAATCCACAGATTAAGGCAAGCTGTAGAAATGGTCAAATTAAATCTGACTCTGCATCAGTCTGCCCAGATATCTGTATTGCTAACAGTGGAGGAAAAGGATGGAAAGGAAGCTCAGAGTAATGACACTGAACTGCCAAAGGACAAACTTAACCCAGTAGATGGTCATGCAAACAGAGAGTTTGGACCCGGCCTTTTGGAAAAGAAAAGTGGGAAAAGTCAGGTTTTATTTGAAACAGAAATATCTCGGAAGCTCTTTGATAGCCTTAATGAAGATCTCTTCCAGAAAATACTTGTGCCCATTCAGCAAGTATTAAAAGAAGGCCACCTGGACAAGACTGAGATTGATGAGGTCGTTTTAGTTGGGGGCTCTACTCGTATTCCTCGAATCCGCCAAGTCATTCAAGAGTTCTTTGGAAAGGATCCCAACACATCTGTAGACCCTGACCTGGCAGTGGTGACAGGCGTGGCCATCCAAGCAGGGATTGATGGAGGCTCATGGCCTCTCCAAGTCAGTGCTTTAGAAATTCCCAATAAGCATTTACAAAAAACCAACTTCAATTGAATTCTGGAGTAATGATGTGTGATCAAATACAAATACATGATCTTATCTGGTGAGCTCTTCCCCTTTATCAGAGCACCTCCTCCAAAAAAAGAGAATTACTATCTAAAATATGTCACAGATTTACCTAGAAGGCAATATTTAGATAAAATAAAATTTTACATAGCATATATATATATTTTTTTTTTTTTTTTGGAGAGGTCTCATTCCAGTACATACTCTTATTAGAGGAGCATAGGTGGCTATATTTTCTGAATTCTGGAAATAGATAACCATATGCACTTAACATTGTATTCTGTAAACATTAAATAGTGCCAATTATAAGATTTCCCAGTTCTTACTAAATTGTGTTAATAGGAGCTGGTAATTTCTTTACTTGGTCATCACATCTAACTATAAATTTGAATATACTTGAATGACAGTGTTGATGTCAGGTATTTTCATTGGAAGGTACCAGTATTATTAAGCTGCATATATATTCAATAACGGCCATATACAAATTTACTTTTACAAATTCAATGTCCAGTTGTGTGTCATATGCACATATTCTGCTTTTTCCAGATTATCTTAATGTATTTCATGAATCAGTTTTGCTTTCTAAAATAAGTACAGATTTATTCAAATTTTTCTGTATCAGCTAGTAGAAATACCCAATTTTTATTGTAGGTCCTTCATCTACTGTGCATCATTCTCTGCTTGGATTTCCATGATTCTGCTTGGCTAGAATACAGTAGGGAATTATTAGTTGCATTCTTAAAATGTGTTATTGTCACAATAAAGTCATTGCTATTTCATTTTTGTAAACCAGGATGTGCAGATATTAGTAAATAGCATTAATTACCTATTGTGTTTCTGTTTATTTCTTAATTTACATTTTCAGTGAGCTCTGGAAAATATAGCATGGATTTGAACTATAAAAGTTAGTCTGATTGAGTTTCATTGAGATTTTTTTCCCCATATTTTGTTTCAAATGAGGAAAATGTATCAAACTGTAAAAACCCTGTTATTTAGTCTGTATTATTTTTAAATAGTTACACTTGGATTATTTTAGCCATAAATTGGGGTATGATGAGATCATAAAATTTGTGAATACTGGAAATAAATCTAACATAGAAGGCAATATGGGAAAATTTTCCACAAATCAGCATTTGTAGAACTTAGGTATTTTGTTGTATTTTATTTGTTTTCTTTAAGAAAACCCAGAGACCAAGTAAGAAAATAATAGCAGTTTGATTTCTATGATTTCCATGTTATGTGAAGATACATGTATTTCTTTAGTGGAGACCTACTTCATATTAATATTCAAAAATTTTATATCCTAGTCACCATTTTTTTTAAGGTAAAGTGTATCTTCTTTATCCTAACTTGAAAGATGTTGTTTCCAATCACTAAAGACGAGAACCAAGCAAATACATTTCAACAATATCAAAACATTGAACAGTGTTAATATTTTTTCAGATATAAAAAGAAAACATTTCTTAGCAGTGAAATTGATTTTGAAACAAATTTCAAATACGTTTGTATATAGAAAATACCTGTAGTAGGTAAAGAAAATACAAAATTTTTATTTTAGAACTAATTGAGAAATGCCAAAGATGAATCCACCACTGCATTATGAAAATATTTAAGTGTTCTCTTGGACTTTATATAAATTTTAATAGATTAGAATTGAAAATTATCTTTGGAAGGTCTTTGGGAAAAGTGTTCAATCTCTACAGAGTATCAATTTTAACCTAAAATATTTTAAGATTAAAAAACTTGAATTTCTCAAGATACTTGATGTGGTTCATGACAATCTGTTAACCTGTTAACATTTTTTTTTTTTAAGGAAGCAATGTGCAAAACAGGGCAGCTAATCACACAATAAAATTGGAATTTAAATAATTTGACTCTTTGAAAAATAGAATAGCAGTGTTGGAATTTGGGGGCAGTAGTTTAGCATATTCTCTAGTATAATTATACCTTTAAAAAATGAAGGAATTTTTGTCTTCAATCATATTTTAGGGCTCTATGTATAGATACATAGTCTTGACATCAGTGTAGTTTATTTAAAAGATAAGAATGCATTCTGAAAGGAGTCATTTATTAATAACAATCTGAAGTTGTTTTTCGTAAAACAAACGTTTTAGTTGTACATGTGACTATTTTTTTTCAAGTACATAACAAAATTCTAAATGTCTTGTATAGAGTATGTGAGTAATTTATTTTGTATCAGGAATGTTTTGGTACTGTGTTGTCACTCAAACCACTAACTTATCAACAGATAACTGTGTAATGTGTGCTGAATATTATAATATTGTGCAAAACAGATTGTGCCTCTTAAATGTGTGTGTACAGGTAATTCATGTTTTAATGTAAATAAATACCATTTTGCAGTTTGTTTTTTAAACTGTGTACTTTATTTTCTATTAAGAGCTAGACTAAAACACAGTTTTGATGTGTATAAATTCAAAAGTTGGATAGAGGTGGTCTGATGCTAATGGTGTCCCTCAACCTCAGTCTCAATGTCTCTTTCCAGAAATGTACATTTTCCTGCTTCTGTCTCTGGGATTTCTAATAGAGTTTTTGCTTATTTCCCTAATTTAGGAAAAAGAGTTCCTGCATCATATGAACAGTGTCTTGAATTCTGAATATGAGTTCATTGCTTAAGAATGTAATGAAGCCACAAACTGAGCTAATTAGATAGGTAATAATTTTGCAAAAATAGGAAGTTGTAATTATAAAAAGTAATTTTCTAACAGAGTTTGTGTTATTTTTTGGATAACTGATGCTTTTTAAATTATCCTTATAAGATGATAGTCCCAATCCCTTCCGGGACTAGTTCCTGTGATTTCTTCATACTTATTTAAATTACCTTACTGAGGAACTCAAACAAATAAGGAAATATAAAGATACTTACATATTTATTTTWCTTAACAAACAAAAATACAGTGCCTTTTTTAGGTAGGCAACCTCTAATTTGGGTGGCTCCCAGTAACACCCCACCTTCTGGTATCCATCCCCACAAGATACCAAAAAAAAATCCATCTTCCCTTGAGTTTGAGTGAGATTTAATAACTCTGCTAATGAATGACATGGCAGAAGTGTGGGGATATCTCTTCCAAAACTCGGTTTTTAAAAAAAGACTCTTCTGTCTTAGGTGTTTCCTCTTGCTGCTGGCTACCTCTCTCTTGGAATTCCAACTGTCATGTAAAGTTCAGCCTGTTCTGTTGGTAAATACTGGTAAAGAAAAGGCCCTAGGAAGAGGCATTCCCACTGACAGCCAGCACCAATTCACAGCTCCTTAAAAGATTTCAATGCTAGTCAAGGCTTAGGTGTTGCAGCCATAATTGAAAATGTGAATGTAACTTCATCATAGACCTTAAGCCAGAAACATCCATTAGTTAAGTGACTTCCTGATTCTTTACCCACAAAAACACTCATTTTTTTTTTTTTAAAGAGAGAGTGAGAGAGAGAGAGAGAATTTTTTTTAATATTTATTTTTTAGTTCTCGGCGGACACAACATCTTTGTTGGTATGTGGTGCTGAGGATCGAACCCGGGCCCCACGCATGCCAGGCGAGCACGCTACCGCTTGAGCCACATCCCCAGCCCCTCATTTTTGTTTTAAAGTACTAAATTTTGAATAATTTTACCCAGCAATAGAGAATAGAACTCTTAATAGGAACCAGGACATTGCTCCAAATGTTTTACTAGTATTAACCAATTTAGTTTCATCCTCCAAGCAAACATGAGTAGGTGTTGTATCCCCAATTTCAAATGGGGCGATTAAGGCACAAATGTATCAGGTAAACTTTCCAGGTTTATGCAGCTAATAAATTGGCAGTATCAGTATCCCAAACCAGTCCATGCTCAGCCCCAATGTTGTGCTGCCTTATGTGATGACAGAAACCTCTGAAAAATAAAATCTAGAAAAGTGGGACTAGAGGGAAAGCTGGAAGGAGCTAGGAGATCTGCCCTCACCCCTTCTTCCTCACCTTTGTTTGATCTAACTGGAAACATGCATCATTGAGAATCATGCCTCACTGTAATCTCCAGTTATCCCAATGTTGTTGTCCATTGAACAGACCTTCATAAACATTGGCTTAGTTTTATTTTTATTTACATAATAGTGTATCTTATGATGTGATTTTGTAAACATGAGATGTTACTCAATGTTTTCTATATGGCAGACACTGTTCTAATGATTATATATTATATATACTATATTATATAATATTTAGTTTTCCAAACAACTTCAGAAGTACATAAAATTATTACTCCCAAATAAGCACAGAGAAGTTAACTTGCCCAAGTTTGTACAAGTCTAAAGTGTTTGAGTAGAGGTTTAATAAAGGCACTCCCATCTCAAGACCCTGAACCCTTAACCACTGTAATATTTTCATATTTTAACTGTTTTTATTCCTTTTTCCTGAAAGAAGGCCCTCTGGATCAAGTAGAACTATTTATAATTTGTATGCATATTTTAAAACAACATTAAATCTCCTTAACCATTAAGTTTGATATCAAACTGTGTTTAAAAATAGATGTAATTGCCACTACTCCATCGACCTATGAAAATGATTATTGTATATGGTTCAAGCTAATACTATATATAAAGAAGCATAGCAGCCCCATCCCAATATTTAATTTAATTTACTATACCTACAATATTATTGTTTCAATTTCCTCCCCCATTCTTGAATTACAGACTCTTAAGTGTTTCTTGTAGGAATGAGACATTGGTGGAAAAATGGAGTCACGTGGACTGGATTTTGAATCTTATTGCCTACGATTCTCTTGGAAACTTAGTGTCATTTTTGGTGAAATTGGTAGATAATATGCTGTTCAGTAAGGACTGAAAGTAGCAAATACTTCAAATGTCTTCAAATGTCTGGCATTGAGGACTATCAGTAATAAATATTCCTCTTGTCTTCAAAGTAGTTCATGCTGTTTAGGATTTTCTTTCTATCTGATAAGGTAGATATTACATATTGAGATTATATTCTTAATCTATTTTGAAGTTACAATCCTTGAACAAATTAGATAATCATGGAGTAAACTTTTTTCTTAAATACAAATGTATGACTTCTTTGTAATCTAATCATTTTGAGTACCCTGTACTTTGTTTCAGGTATACTTCATTGATTAGCAAGCTTAATGTGGACAATTGGATTATAATGTGGAAATGAGAATAAAATAATAATTTCTCAAAACACAATGAACTCATCTTTGAATAATTTTGAATATTAGTCATTTTTAATAATTTTAGTTTTGTTTAACTCTTAAATATCATATGTAACAATATATAATAATACTGAACCAATACTCAGATTAAAATCAGAATACAGCTATTATCCCAGGAGCTTACTTTACAGACTCCATCACTACCCCCTCACACACACACACACACACCAAGGATAACCAATATCCCAAATTTCAATACTATAGATTTTAACTTTAACATAAATAGAATCATAGAACCATACAATGTTATTTCTTTGTACCTAGCCTCATTGATTCAGCATTATGTTTGTGAGATCCATTGTATCTGCAGCTGTCATACATTCATCCCATGACTACACAAAGTTCCGCCATCTAGGCAGGCTACTGTTGATGTCACCTTAGATTTTTAAATTCTCTATAGGAAAAGAGAGGCACTATGGGGCTAGGGTTGTGGCTCAGTGGTAGAGCGTCTGCCTGGCATGTGTGAGGTACTGTGTTTGATCCTCAGCACCTAATAAAAAAAAATAGATAAATAAAGGTTGTCCATCTACAATAAAATATATAAAAAAAGAGAGGCACTATGGTATGAATTTGTCCCCCAAAGTTCATAGGATGGAAAAAATCCCAATCAACAGTGT